GAGTCGATGGACGTTAACAAGACGCCGAGTGAACTCTTATCAAGCGGCTTATTTGAATTAATGGAGTTCACGTTACAAAAGCAGAACGTTGTCGAACGGATGTGTGAGTTGTGGAATGTAGCGCGTGACGAGAATATCTCCGACACTTCAGTCGTCAAAGAAGTCATCAACTTTTATCGAGTCCAATTGCCAACTCGCGAGTACCGTACACTGGTCGGGAGATATGAGGGGCGCCTCCGAGAGATGTCGAAAGAATATTACACGCAATTTGCAGATTTATTGATCCAAAGTGGTCCATTCAATTTCCTTGAAAAGTACTCGGACTTTTATACCAAAGAAATTGAACGAATTAATACCAACGAATTGTCCAATGACGTTCAAACGATCTTAAAAAGTGAATTGGTCAAAGTCGTGTTTTCTAAGCAAGATGAAGTCTTGCAAGTGATGAAGAGTTTGGTAGAGTCTGCAAACACAACATCATTAAAACCAGTCTATGTTTTGTATCTTCAAAACAAGAATATGGAAATCCTTGAGAGACTCTGTTATGAAACGGAATGCATCTTAAACACTAAGACGAACACTTTTTCATTGGATAATTTCCAACAGTCGATTGAACACTTGTTGTCTGCGTATGACTCGTATAAAGTAGTCGTGAATTGCCTTGCTGGAGAAGCAGTCAGTCATCTTGAAAACGTCTTCAAAAAATTGGTTGCATCAATTGCAGTATGTCTTGGAGACAAGGACGCAGCAATTGTGCCGTCATTCTTGGCAAAGTATCTCAACAGTTTGATGAAAAGAAACTCCACATTTTCTATTGAAAAACAAAAGGCATTTGAAACGATCGACAAAATCATTGCCGTCACAAACTACGTCCAAAACTCTGACGTGTTTTTGTACGCAACAGTAAAGTCTTACATCGAAAGACTCATCTTCGCCAACTCTAATGAAGAGTACGACGAATATTTCATATCAAAAATGAGAGGGGTGAACCATAATCATTGTTATCGGCTTGAACAGGTCCATGGCGAATTTGAATACTCCAAACAACTCTCGAGTGAGTATAGTGATGTCACTAAAAGTACTAAATTCAGTTGTATTGTCTTCGGTGCACAAAATGAGATTAAGGACTTTTTGAACTTCAGCCCCGAAGGTCAACTCAAAACCGACTTTGAACAATTCAATCAATTTTATATGACAAAGAAGTACAAACAGAAACTTGAAGTGTGTTGGAGGAGGTCGAATGGGGTAGTTCAAATGAATGGGAAATACCAAATCATAGCTTTAGTTTGTTTTACTATCTTACTAGTTAAGAGATTTAATATAATAGATTTATTATTATATTATTGTAAATTTAAAATATACTATACTATATTATAATTATACTCACAGTCAGGCTCCACAAATATTAATACTCATGTGTTATATGGAAAAGGTAAATTGGAGTGTCAAGGAGTTGAGTGAAAGGTTTAAAACAACGACGTTATACATCAAAATGATGATCAGTGGAATTCTTTCAAAAGGGATATTAATTAGTGGGGATAATGTTTTGAAGGATAGTAGTGAAGTTCAGTATAACGACCATTTTGCGAGTAAAAACAGAAAAATAGGAGTCACTCTTCTTAACAAAAAACTTGTTGGGGAAAATGAGAGTTTTGATGACGACGTGAAAGACAAAGAAGAGATAATACAGAAGAGGCAATACTTACTCGAATGTAGTATCGTCAGAATTATGAAACACAAAAAGGTGCTCGAAACTCAGGAACTCATTATGCAAACAATTCAAATGACGAGAAAATTCTTCCAGGCGGATGTTCGGTTCGTGAAGAAAGTTATTGAAAATTTAATAGAAAAAGAATATTTGATGAGAAATATTAAAAATATAGAATACGTGGCTTAATATATTTATTGGGTTTAACTTTTGATTAAAATGTGGAGCTTCACTACAAAATTATAATGACATTTTAGTACTTTTGGTTAACACGCAATTTCGTTTACATAATAAATTAATGAAAAATGTAATACCACGTCAAGTAATTGAAATTATACAATTATAGTATATTAACGATTATTTAGTAACAATAACAAAATATTTTACACGTGGCACTTCTATTTATACGACAACAATATTTTATGGTAAATATAGTAATAGAGAATAGTTTAAATTTTGGAAAGAGACCACGTCATCGGCTTACAGAGTGTTGACGTGTTTGCTTTGAGATGAGGGTACTGATATATAAAGGGGCAGACAACTAGGAAGTCAGAAATCAAATGGATCCAAATACATGGACTGATGCAACAGTAAAAATGTTTAAAGACGCGCAACAAATCGCTTTTCAGCGAAAGGCGCCGTATATAGTGCCGATGCACATGGTGCAAGCAATCTTGGACGACGAGCAGAACATTGTTGTCCGAGTGGTTCAGATGTGTGGAGGTGACGTGATGAGGATGAAGAATGCAGTTAATGAAGAGATTGGGAAAGTACCAGTGCAAGACCCTGCGCCTGTTGAAGTTGGTCTGCACCCATCCTCACAACAAGTCCTGCGACGAGCAATGGAAAAACAGAAGGTGATGGGTGATACGTACCTTGCACTTGACACAGTGATCTTGTCACTTGTTGAGGAGAAAGAGGTTTTGAGTGCAGTTGGTGCGTCTGGGATCAATGTGAAAGAGTTTACAAAGAAAGTGACTGAGATGAGAAAGGGGCAGAAGGTCGACTCGAAAGACTCAGAGACGCAGTATGAAGCACTAAAGAAGTATGGCAACGATTTGACAGCACAGGCGGAGTCTGGGAAGATGGACCCAGTGATTGGGCGAGACGAGGAGATCAAGCGAGTCATTCGAATTTTGTCACGACGAACAAAGAACAACCCCGTCTTGATTGGTGAGCCTGGTGTTGGAAAGACGGCGGTTGTGGAAGGCTTAGCGCAGCGAATAGTGAAAGGAGATGTTCCTTCGAACTTGCAGTGCAGAGTCATTGCACTTGATATGGGTGCGCTGATAGCTGGTGCGCAGTACAGAGGGCAGTTTGAGGAGCGACTGAAGGCGGTCTTGAAGGAGGTGAAAGAGTCGAAGATCCCAATCATTCTGTTTATTGATGAAATCCACACTGTCTTGGGTGCCGGTGCAACCGGAGAGGGTGCAATGGATGCGGCAAACATCCTGAAGCCAATGTTGTCGAGAGGGGAGTTGCGGTGCATTGGAGCAACAACACTTGAAGAATACAGAAAGTACGTTGAGAAAGACCCTGCCTTTGAGAGGCGATTCCAGCAGGTCTATGTGGCTGAGCCGAGCGAAGAGGACACACTGTACATCCTGAGAGGCATCAGAGAGAAGTATGAGAGCCACTACGGACTGACAATCATGGACTCTGCTCTTGTTGCAGCTGCATCGCTATCAAAGAGATACATCAATGCAAGGTTTTTGCCAGACAAGGCAATCGATTTGGTTGATGAGGCGTGTGCAACACTCTTCACACAGAAGAACTCGCAGCCTGAGGAGATCGACAACTTGGAAAGAAAAGACACACAACTGACAGTCGAGAAGATAGCACTTGAGAGAGAGCTGAAGCAGACAACAGAGGACC